CCATACCATACCATACCATACCATACCATACCATACCATACCATACCATACCATACCTCGTCACGTCCTAAAATGTGTGTGGGTGTTTCCCTTGGTGGAAAATGTTATTTGTTTTGTTGAATTCAAAGTCCTGTAAATCCCTTTCAAATTTTATATCTATGATAAGTCATTTCGAGCACCATAGATAGTCCAGCATGTTAGAAGAAAACTGTTTTCGTGATCTTGCTGATGATCTTGATGCCCATTTTCTCGATGGTCCTTTTGGGCATATGATTTAGATAACTACCACCTTCCCTGGATTTTCTTCATTTTGTCAAGTTTGGAGTCCTCTTGGTTGAATTTTATTCTTTCAAAGTTTTGATAAAATGGTGCAAAGGTGATCGAGTTATTGCCCATTAAATGTGTGCTATCTTTTTAGGCGTCAAGCAGTCTACTTGTGTTAGTATTGAGTATTATGGCCATCAAGTAAATTGAAATTCTTTATTTTGTTAAACCTTAACTAAGACTGTAGTTCTCGTACCTTGACAATCATAACTCTGGTTGTAGATTTTGTCACCTTCTCTGTCCCTAGTGGTCAAGTTTTTTGGTATTATTTTGTATTTTGTCTATTGTGTCAATTAGTGTAGAACTTCAGAAATGATCGATGATACTGTACTATTTTCCTGACCATCGCAAAACATTTGTTAAGGTCTTGATTCCCCTATGTTCATCTTTCTTGGCGATCTCGGATTTAGTTGCAGAATTATATAAAAGCTCATAGTCTGTTTGGTAATACATGTAATATTCAGGCCCTAGAATAAAAGCTAGTCAAGCTGCTTCATGACTACTAATCATCTTGATCTACAACCCCTTCAAGTTATTCTTAGTTCTGCCCTCATTATATTGGTGCTCAAGCTTTTGATTCTGATTTTGATAACAATAGCGCATGTGGCCTATTTAGTAGCATTCAGGTTGCCAGGTCATTATTAATATACCTTATAAGTTTCATGAATACAGACAGTCTCAGCTATCAAATAATGTCTTCAAAAACTATATCGTTAGCACAATTCTTTTCTACGTTAGGCCGCGTGTCTACCAAAGCGGAAATGACCCGATTTCTTGTCTGCGTCTTTCCAGCATGCGTGGTTAGATCAAAAGGAATCGGAGGATGGGGAAAATAGAACATGAACAGTTAGAAAATAAATAAATGAAATTGTTAATAACAATACATGTACCCATTTAAGCCACTAATTTACACTTATCCTTTGCTTATTCTGAGCCAGTGATTTCGGACTTGACAAGCATTTTTCGTCGGAACTTAGCCTAGGGTTTGATTTTTTTAAAGCTGTGGCTGGGCTATGGCTGATGAGAAATTACACGACCCGAAAAAAAAAAATGCTGTATGCGACATTCCATCCGACCCGTGTTTTGTCGGCTGTAGTCGTATCATTTTGGTGGACACACCCAAAGTGAATTATTGTCACAGATTCCTTAAGTAAATACTGATGCTCTTTTAGAATTACCAACACCGTGAGAGATGCATTAATTTTGGTCCGCTTACTCGTCCGCAATGGTCAAGGGGTAGGG